ACACTTTGTTTCTTTTTTACATGACGCAAATTTTCATTCCCGCTCTGGTTCAAAAACTTTTTGCGCCAGTTCCGATCTGGCGTTGCCCGTTTACAAATCTCGAATTTGCTTGTATTTTTAGCTCTCGGCCTGCTGTATTATAATTTCTGGTGGAAAATGCAGCAGGAAAGGCAAGGGGAAATTGAACATGAGGCCTCGATGGAAGAAAATGCTGGACCATTGCTTATCAACAAACTCGAGGTACAACGACAATAATGAGCTTTTCGAAGAGTAGCTTATTTAAAGCCTATACTCCCAGATGGCGGGACCAATAACCTTCCAGTTAATGACCTAAGTTTACCTTAATCCGTTGATAAATCAGTCGTTAAATAAAATTTTCTGCTATTCGAGATTTTAGCTTAAAGGATTAGGTTATGCAAGACCTGCATGCATAAATTTGCATCAAGGTTAGCTCCCTTTTATAACTTAAGACAAGCTTAATGATGTTTCAAAGTGTTGTTCTTTCTGACACCAAACTCAGTTCTCCAAACGTTACTTAACCATTTTTATACTTCCTTGTTTTGGAGTAGTGGCTAATGCGAACCTTTAATTGCTATTAAATTATGGCATGTGTACCGAAGGCCAAAATCAAACCATCATGTAATCACTTATCATAAGTTATAAGTGACTGCATGTGGATACGTTGCTACCTAGGTACGTAAATACATCTGATATCTGGCCAACTAGTTAGGCAGACCCATGCAAATGGACACAATTAATTAAACATATTTTCACCAGTAAGTACATGAAATTTAACTGTCTGCTCGAAAGCAAGATGAATCGTTTATACCAAAAAATGTAATGTCTTGACAACTTTCAAAATTACTTCATTAAAGGAGCATGGAATCAGTGCAAATGATGTCAAAAAGCTACAAGAAGCTGGATTTCACACCATTGAATCAGTAGCATACACACCAAAAAAAGCCCTGCTTGCTATCAAAGGAATAAGTGAAGCTAAAGCTGAGAAAGTGCTCAATGAAGCTTCCAAACTGGTGCCTATGGGATTCACAACTGCCACGGAATTCCACCAACGGAGATCAGAGCTTGTATATATCACTACAGGCTCAAAGGAGCTGGATAAACTAATGCAAGGTATGCCTCATACAAGAGTGTTATTTCTTACTTATAGCGATTAAGTAATTAGCTAAGCAACATGAAAATGTGTGGCAGCATGCCTAAACTTGTCTGTCTCACCTTGTATGTTCTGTTCTTCTCGCAAATTGTTCAATCATAGATAATTATAGGATACATGATACTGATGATGTAATTTGATGGAGAATCTTGTAATGTCTCTGATGAGTTACATTGTTGTATTATGATAACATTTTAGCACTCCTTTTTTCTTATTAATTTCCACTAATCACTTCAAAACCTTCAGGAGCTTGAAGTGAAACCATCAAATGAATTGAATTTAAGCTACAGAGCCTGTATTTCTTTGCTCTGCAGGTGGCATTGAGACTGGAAGTATCACAGAAATGTTTGGAGAATTCCGCACTGGAAAAACACAGCTCTGCCACACCATGGCAGTAACATGCCAGGTAATAACTCCTACATCCTACATGTAAGTTCAGTTTATCTGCTGACACATCAAGATTGTGTTCCCAAATTAGGCACTTTAAAATTCTTATTTAAATGGCAAATGATGAAAAATTTAAATAAAATCAACCTTTTGATTCTTACAAAGTAGTGTGCTTTATTAACTATCAAGCCAACAGTGTTCCCAGGGACTCTCATCTTCCTGGCCTTTGGGAAGGTGGGAAGATGAGAGATCCTGGGAATGAGGTTGCTATCAAGCATCACCCAGGTGACTGTTCCCTCATGAAGTTGATGTCTAATGACTCATACCTTTGTGTTCAAACCAGCTAAACATGCTTACTTTTAGAAAAAAAATGAGAAATAGCCAGCAGAAGTGTTTACCAAGGCAGTACTATGTCCCCTACACTAAAGAAATCATCTACTTGTAGGTCTGCCTGAAAATAATAATTCTTTGGCATTAAACTACCGGTGCCATCTGATCACATTATGCAGCCTCTGTAGTAAGTTTAAATGGATAGTACGTCATGTTGTGTACTTTCATCCTGTAGCTTCCAATTGACCATGGAGGGGCAGAAGGTAAATGTCTATACATTGACACAGAAGGCACATTTAGACCAGAGAGACTTCTGGCAGTAGCTGAAAGGTATGGTTGGTCATAATTCACAAGAAAAAACATAAGATTGTAAACATTATCATGATGAATTGTTGTTCACTGTTGAGACTGGCAGAAGAGAAAGATGCAACCAGGGTGATGAATTTGAAGACTAAAATTTAGACAGTCTTTAATAACTACTGCCCAACAGATCATAATTCATTATTTTGTGTAAAACAAAATTAATATTTGTCCATTTTATCCCTAATTCTTATTTTGAACTGATGTAGATATGGGCTAGCAGGACAAGAGGTTCTTGACAATGTGGCTTATGCCAGGGCCTACAATTCTGACCATCAGTCACAGCTCTTACTGCAAGCATCTGCCATGATGGCTGAGTCAAGGTACATGTATCGCTCTACAGCAAAACATCGTGAATTCATTATACAATTTGTTGTTGTCTACCAAAGCAAGAGAACTGGGATGTACATGTGGTCAAGAGTCACTACTGGCTTATTAATCCAGCTGGATGAGAGCTTATCATTGGATCAAATTTCACCAGAAAACATTGACCTGAGTTAGTTTTGAAGAGGCCTTGCTAATTAAAAGCTGGGAAAGCTAGCTTGTTGATGAGCGCACATAGTTCCAGAACAAAAGTCTGTTACTTAAGGTAGATAAGATTAATGCCTAGTGGCTAATACAAATTGTTGTTAAGATTAACCATTCTGGTTATTCATTATTTCTTTTGCTTCAGATATGCTCTAATGATTGTCGACAGTGCCACAGCTTTATATCGGACTGACTACTCAGGACGTGGAGAATTAGCCACTCGCCAAATGCACTTAGCAAGATTCCTGAGAACTCTTCTCAAACTTGCAGATGAGGTTAGAAAAACTTTAGAGTAATGTACAGCAGATACACTGGGAATGTGTGTAACAATTGAAAAGAGCTTCATGACAAAAAATTGTCAGACTTCGGGAACTACATGTAGTGTCTTGTCCTTATCCTTACCTGTAGATCAGGACAAACTTTGGGAAAGGGAGAAGATGTTGTTCAGGCCAGAGAGTACAAAGTCAAATACTTATCATAATACCTGCAGCATCCATAAACCATCAAGAAACAAACAAACAAGAAACTTTAGTCTGATTGTACATTTTAGGCTGTTTGAGCCTAGTTGCTCATGAGGCTTTATAGCTGTTTTATCTCTGGCTTGTATAACATGAAGCACCAAGGCTGATTCTCCTCCCCAGATAGGATGGATCATGTGTTAATAAAAGCATCTGCGGTCGAGTGTCAATCGATACCCTTGATCGACCCTTGATCAACATCTTGATTAATCCTCGATTGACACTAGACCGATACTCGATTGGCATCTCGATCTACACTCAGTTGACATCTCAATCAATCCTTGATCGACACTAGACTGACACTTGATCAACATCTCGATCAATACTCAATTGACACCCGCTCTACAGTTGGCTGAGTTTCGACTGACTCATTTATTGATCAACACTCGATGGTCAGTGTGTGCTTAAATTAATTGACTCTTGACCGACTGTCTACTGAGATGTCAATCAAGTGTTGACTAAGTATTGACCAAGATGCTGATCAAGTGTTGATTGAGATGTCGATTGAGGTTTGATTGAGGATATCAACTGATACTTGATGGCAGATGCCTTTAGTACACATGATGCAATAGGATGCTAGTCCACTGCACAGGGTTTGACTCTTGAAAGGGTAACCCATTTACAATTATACCCCTAGGAGGGGAGTCATATGTGCTGTGAGTGTGAAGTGCCTTGGCCAAGAACACAATTACATGTATAATATTGGCACTGGTACATTTTCCAAGCCTTCGATGGTATAGTGATAGAGGTTGTAATTTGGTCACTTTTCCATTCAGTTTGGTGTAGCTATTGTCATTACAAACCAAGTCGTAGCTCAAGTGGATGGTGCTTCCATGTTCCAAGCTGATCCCAAAAAACCGATAGGTGGAAACATCATGGCTCATGCATCAACAACAAGGTACATGTTCCTAATTTCACTATTTATCTCCATCGCAGTTAATTTTGAGTAATTAAAAAGTTGACCACTTTATTTTTATTGCGGGAATGCATGTATTTACACTTGTCTTAAACAAAACTGTGCAGCTGTTCAAAAACGTGCACAACCTATTGCACTCTGAACAGAAGAGCAACCATTAAATAACCAAAATAGTTGTTATCGTAGTTATCAGTTTTTTGACATGCAAACAAGGTGGAAGGGTCAAGTCTAGATCTGCTTTGTACTGACCCTTTCACCTTGTTTGTTTGCGTTTCTAAACAAAAGAATATTTGACTGCAGGTTCAACTGCAATGACAGCTATTTTACCCACTTGATTCAAACACATTTATAATTTCCATCCTGGAGGCATAGTTGTGCAATGCAGCTGGCTGTTGAAGAAAGGTGATTGTTAGTGAAGGGTTCCTGTTACTGGTCTCTGGATGTGAGGTCTACATACTAAATAACTAAACCAAAGGAACAGAGCTGGCATAATATTAATCATTCAATAATTAGTCAATGGTGGTCCTTGCCTAGTTTCTCAGCTTCATTAGTCAGCCTCATTTTAAAATTGATCATTCACCCCAGGGTTGCGCTCTAGAGGTGCTGACATCCGTACTCAAGTGTCGATCAATAACCTCGATCAATACTCTCGATTGACACTCAATTAACACTCCAGCGACACTTCATCGACACCTCAGTTGACACTCCATCGACACTCTATCGACCTCTTGGTAGACAGTTGGTTGAGTCAACTAATTTTTGATCGATGCATGTGAGTGGGTCGACACTTAGCCAACTATTGACTCACTGTTGATCGAGTGTTGACAGAGCATCAATCGCGATGTTGACTGAGTACCGATCCAGATGTCGATCGAGGGTATCAATTGAGAGTAAACATGTAGATGGACACTTGACCACAGGTATCTTTAGTACCCATGATCTGAGGTGCCTGGGTGCCACAGGTCACTAACTTTTGCCTTTGGGCGACTGGAAAAACTTACTTTTTTCTTAATTATAAGCTTTAGTGCTGGACACCCAGGATTTCACAGTTAGGAACCTTTAAGCTCCTGATAATTTTTCTTAGCCCACAACCTTGCACCCTTTGGTGACATCACCAATTGAATAAGAAAATTAAAGACCTAGGCTTGGGCAAAAGGCAAGCATCAGAACCTGCATATTAAGGTCACGGTTCTACTGATTGCCAGCTCAGGGTTCCACAAGGAACAGGTTTTATGCGTGGAAACAATTCTTAAACTGCTTTTCATTCTCTCCAGATTGTATTTGAGGAAAGGAAGAGGGGAGACAAGAATTTGCAAGATTTACGACTCGCCATGTTTGCCTGAGGCTGAAGCCATGTTTGCCATTAATGCAGATGGTGTTGGAGATGCCAAGGACTAAAAGATGCAAAGTGCAAAATGGCATCTATTTGTTCAGTGGACATAAACTCCTGACTCGTACTGTAATTTGAAATACTTCTAGTTGCCTTAATTTCAACCTGTAAATACACAGCCATCTCATGTTGCATGCAAAATCCTTGTGTATCACACAGTTTCAAACAAAAGCATAAAAATCAACAGAAGGACAGAAGGTGGACAAGTATTTTCGTCATGAACTCAAGAAAGATTTACACGAATAGTTTGATATATTATTAATTGAATGAAAGAACTGCATTTTGATGTAACATAGAATTTGAGAGGATTCGTGCAAGCATGCAAATATTGTAAAAGGGAATCTTAAAGATTATAATTCATTCATTTTCCAAATTACTTTGATTTTGATTAAGGCTTCAAACAAATTGCTTATTCAGTGTGCCCCAATTAGTTTCTAAACTTGCTGTAGGTCAGATTTTTTAATTAATGTAAAGAGCCATACAATTTTGAAAAAGACCCACTTAGAGTCATAGTCCAACAATAGGCAATAAAACGTACATGTGTTTAGAAGCAAAGTTATGCATGACAACATTTTTATTCTCCTGGAGGAAAAAATCGACATTGACTGCTAACCATTAAAATGAAAATAATGTCATGTCTTTTGTGATAATAAATTATATTCTTTATTGAAACAAAGAGGATGGAGATAATTGACCTGCATTGTTGGATTCGTTAATGCGTCAAATATTGGTTATTTTCCGCTAAACATCATGACATGTGACATGACCTGTCAGAAGAACCAAATCTACTTCTAAATATGAAGGATGTGATGTTATAACCTTAATATTACTGCGTGCTAAATTTGGTTCCATTGTCATTTATGTCTTCAGATATATAACTAATAATATTACTCTCAGCAGTAAAAGTTTTTGACCCATGCCTTAAACTGCTTGAATTATGCACTTGCTGATTTTGCCTCAGTAATATATAGCTTTAGCCACACCTGATTGCAATAAGTCAACCATAGAGGAAAAAAAAATAATTTGTTTTTCTTTGATCACGAACTCAAAAAATGATCAATTCTTAGCATGTAATTGTTCAGCATGTAGCTTCACTATTTTTTCCTGTTCAAAACTTAACGATGACTTTCCAAGAGAGGTTTGTGCAAGGAATGTCTCGGAAAAATTAGAGAAGGAACAATGTGCCAGGGATTAATTTGCACAGAAATTTTGCCTTCGCACATACTCCCTCCTTCTCCCTCAGAGTAATAACCTGACTTGAGCCTGCAATCCAATCAGAAAACCAGTATCTGGGCAGTGGGCAACTTTAAAATTACACCTCAGTTAGCTCTAAACCTGAGCCCGCGATATGGCGGATACCTTGTTTTGACAGATGTCAGTTTACCATAACATGGATGTCCAGTAGCAAAGATGTACCTATGGTAATGGTGCTTCCCTCTTATTTTTCAAGGTATTAGGCTTGGC